CTATACCATGGCATGGACAAGTGCAGCACAGGGGTAGAGGAGGAAACAGCCCCTTGTCTCTCCCCTACTCAACAGGGCTCCTAGTATTTCTTCTACTGTCAGTGACAGTAACCTATTGTGGCAGAAGAGGTGGCACAGTGGATTAAGTACTGACCTGGAGACAGGAAGACCTGAGTTCAAATCTGATCTCAGCCACCAGTCCTCTGAACTAAACCCATTTATTTACACTTTAAACATGATTAAACCTTGAATCCACTACACCAAGCTTACCCGACCATTGTTGAGAATCAAATGCAGAGCTCTTTGTAAACAATAAAGTCCTATATGTTGATTATCATGACAATGATTTTGAAGGCCTCATGGTCACCCACCTCTCAAGTTGTTAGCACACCTCATAAAGTACAATGTCCAGAATGGAATGTGTGACCCTGGGCAAGTCACTAAAAACTTATGTTTGCCTCAGTTTCCTCAACTGTAAAATGGGGATAGCTCTGAGCACCTCTCAGCATTGTTGTGAGGATCAAATGAGATATTTTTAAAGCAATTACAGCACAGTGCCTGACACATGGTAAGTGCTTAATAAACGCTCATTCCCTTCCCTATGAACATTATGAGAGAACTAGGGCTCCTAAAATGGAGCAACAGGGAGTTAGTGGTATTACAACTGCCTACCTCCCTTCAACAATAGTTTCCAACAAATTCTCAAAGTTGGAGATTAGTAGTAATCATGAGAACTTGGACTCAGATCCTCAAGCTCTACTGTCTTTACAGAAGACAGAAAAATAGATGACACTAGAGACGACACAGATAGGTCCCAAAACAATCTGGTTCAAGGTAGACAGGTACATGTATTTAGTGACACTGCCTCCAATTAAGCATTATAGGATTTAGTGCTGGAAAGGAATTTAGAACTTCTCTAATCTATTCCCTGAAATCTTATAGAAAAAAACTAAGGCATGCCCAAGGTTATACAAGATGTTAAGTAATAGATTCAGGATCTGAACTCATGTATATCATGCTGGATGATGTTGTTAAGGAGTTTCATGCTTCAGGTCAGGGTTGGGGTAGATGATCTGAGGTTCCTTCAAACTCCAAGAGCCTATGACCATAGCCATCCACTGCCTACTTTTTAATGGCAGGACTGTGGCACAAGGATCAGGCGCATGGGCACATAAAAACAGCATCTCCAAACCTCTTTCAGTCTGACATCTGCTTAGAGGTTTGCTTGGGAGCACCGAGTGTGTTTCAGACGTTTAGATGTACCTGTCTCAAAACATTCTGAAGTTAATGTCACCTAGTCATCCTTTATAGCCATCTCTGTGTTCTCCAGGCCATGTTTTTCCATGATGGAGTCTAATTCTTGAGGAAAATGCCCTGGGTCCTTTTCCCTATCTTCTTCCCTTGCCATCAACAGAAATAAGAAAGTTGGAGAGAAAGTTGGAAATAAAGGCAGGTTCACAGAGGAAGATGATACATTAAATTTTGGACATGCTGAATTTGAGGTGCCAGCACATAGAGAAAAAGATATCCATTAGTGGACTGGAGATATGGGGTCTATATAGTTCAGTAGATCAGGGCTAGATATATAGATTTTAAAATCACAGAGAGGTCATTGAAGACACAGGAGTAGATAAGCTTGCCAATGAAGAGAATATATAGAAAAGGTGGCCTAGGACAGAACCTTAGTGGACACCCACACTTAAGAGTGTTGGGAGAAACCAATCCAGGGAGAGACAGAAGAGAGAGTAGTGTCACAGAAGCCAGAATATTCAGAAGGGGGTGTGCAAGCTCCCAAAGAAAAGTCAAGGAAGAATAGGACTAAAAAAATATCACTGGATTTGGAACGTTAGTCACTGGTGACCTTGGAGAGTATAGTTTCAGTAAAGGAGTCCGGATAGAAGACAGATAGGGGGGACTGAATAATTACTGGGCAATGAGAAAATAGAGGTGGAGATGATACTTTAGGGATGAGCAGGGTCAATGGATGATTTTCTAAAAATAGCATGATGTGAGTACGCATGTGGAGAAGGAACCATCAGAAATAGATTGAGACAGAATGATCAATGGATTGTAGTCTGTCCCAGGAATACAGGAATGGATGAAATCAAAGATTCAAGTGAAGGGCTTGGCAAAGAGGGCAATATCATCCATTCAGACCAGAAGGAAAAAATAGAACATATGATGTTTTGAGGTATGAAGATGAGAGAGCTTGCAAGAGATGCCCTTTATCTTCTCAAGAAGGTGGGCAGCCAGATCATTTGCTAATTTATTAAAGAGCATGCTGGGTGTAGAGTTGGGGGCTTGCAGAAAGATTTTGAGCAGCTACTATGGATGTGTGATAAAGAGTCAATCAGAGGGGCAGCTAGGTGGCACAGTGGATACAGCACCGGCCCTGACGTCAGGAGGACCTGAGTTCAAACCCCACCTCAGCCCAAACCCTTGACACTTACTAGCTGTGTGACCTTGGGTAAGTCACTTAACCCCAACTGCCTAAAAAAAAAAAAGTCAATCAGAAAGGGATAGGATTGCTATTCAAAATGACAATTCACAGAAAAGGCCCAGTTAAATTAGTAGGTGGCTCAGTCAGCTTGGTCTTGTTACTTCTAGTAGCACTATGGAATAAGAAAGAAGACTCCTCCAAACAACAGTCTGTAAAATATGACCAAACCTTGCATCTATTACACCTGCCTTACCCAGTCATCGCTGAGAAACAAGTGAGCTAAGGATGTGAAAAGCTCTTGGTAAACCATAAGAGCCCTACATGTAAATTATTATGACCATGATTCTGAGACTTTCATCATGGTCACCCACCTCTCAGGTTGTCAGTGTACCACATAAAATACAACGCCCAGAATGGAACAGAATTCTAGCCTTATTTGGGCAGAAGACAGTGGGACTATTACCTCCCTCACTTTGGACATTACACTTTATACAGCCTAAAATCCCAATAAAGAGGCAATGTGATGTGATGGAAAGGACAGGAAAAGTCCTTGGAACTTGAAAGACTTGGAGTCAAGAGAGACTTGGGTTCAATACCTGCTTTGCAAACTTACAGCAGCAAGTCAACCTTTGGGTATTCCAGTTCCCTCATCTGACAAGTGAGGAGAGTACCTGCAGCACCTCCCTCAAAAGGTTGGTGTGAAGATCAAATGATATAATGCACAGTCGACTTAGAAGGGTCTCAGCTATTATTAGGATTCCCTCCACCTCTAATATAGGGCTCAAGTAGAATTGTTTATTCCCTGGCTCTATGAAGCTGTGCCTCCATTCTCATCTGTTTATCTCACCCCCGAGAAAGATGGTCTCTTTCTCTCATCTCTTCTTAGATTTGGCCTAAGGTGACCAACTTTGTAAACTGATTACAGGTTCCTGACACACATCTGTCAGGGAGTAGTTTTACGAAAGTACCAAATATCACAGCTTTTGCAACCTTCTCATTACAAGAAGAGGGCTCTCCCTCAGGAAACCACTTACTCAAGCTGAAGCTCTTTTCAGCTTTAGCTTCCCTTAATTTATAATTAACAGTAATTGTTCAAGTGTCTTCATCTGTTACAAAGCAGATACTGTGGAAGGTGGGCGTATGTTGAATCATTAGCAACTGCTCTAATTGCTCCATTTAAAAGATCACATTGCGAATCAGCACTTGATCTAGTTAAGCCTACAGATCTCTCACCCTCTTCCTTCCAACAAGGCCCCCTCCTTGCTCCTCCCTACATCTGTGCTCTGAGAACTGGAAGAGCCTGGCTGCAGGTGCTTAACACAACCACCCAAGGGACAAGGCAAGTCTGGGGAGGACAAGGATGGCATCCAGTGAGGAGGGGCTGTGTCCAGGGCAGTCCCTCCTGGGGACATCTCATCGTAAAAGGGACTGTTAGTGACTGTCCTGCGGTGGCCATGAATTCACTGGTGTGAACTGTTTCTCAGTTCTGTAATTGGGACAGAACAGGGAGGCTCCACTCTTTACCATGTGTGTCTTCCTCATAAAGACCCTTCTCACAGCCTTGACTCACTCCTGAAGTAGACTGGTACAATGAAGAGACCTGGCTCTGGAGTCAGCGGGCCTAGGTGTGAATCCTGCCCCAATGCTTAATACCTATGTTACTGTGAGACAAATCACTTAACTTCCTTGGGCCTCAGTTTCCTCATCTGTAAAATGAGGGGGTTGGGCTAGATGCTCTTAGGGTCCCTTCTAGCTCTACATCTACGAGCCTTTCAGTTTCTGAAAACCAGTCAAACAAGGTAAGTCACACAACAGTCTTGCAATAATTAATGTTATAAGCAAGTACATCCCTCACAGCTCCCCGAGCTGCACCCCGCCCCCGGCCTCTCTACCCCTCTGTATGGTAGCACGACTTCATCATGGCATTGAGGTAACCCTGGATTCTCAAAGCCTTCAAGCTTCCCAAGCTGGGACAGCTTCAGGTACAAGGCCAGGGCTAGACTTTATGCCAATCCCTAAGGGAACTCCCTATCTAGCTCAAAGGGATGAATTTTCTGGCCGCAGCAATTCTCAAAGCCCATCACTGTCCTCATTTTTTAAGAGAGATCCAGAGAGGATTAGCAGCCTGTGCAATCATTCAACAAATGGAAGCGCTGGGGACAAACTTCAGAACGCCTTCCTGACTGAAGTTCCCAAACTCCTTCATCTTTACCTGTGAGTAGCTTAATGAATAGAAACAATAAATGAGATTTTACAGCTCCTCAGAATTTGCAAAGTGCTTTAAATGTATTAGCTTATTTGAGCCTCACAACAACCCTGTGAGGTAGGTCATACAGGAATTATCACCCCCATTTTAGAGATGAGGAGACTGAGGCTCACAGATAGCATCAGAAGTGAGATCCCAACGAAGGTCCCTGTGGCTCCGCCGGGCCATTATGCCAGGCTCTTCCTCAAGTACATTCTCAGCAGTCTGAGGGAAAGTGGTTCCCAGCAGTTTAGACTTCAGACATTAGGCAGACACAGAAGGAGGAAAGGTCAAAGAGGAAATCTAGGCAGGCAGTACATGAGGCATTAGATTTAATTTAGAAAGTTGTAATAAAAAACCACCCACCCCAACCCTATGTCCCTTTTGGTGCCAACTCAGAAACTGGCTTCTCTTGTGGCTGTGACATCTACAGCGTCTAGGCAGCACTCCAGTCCGATGGGACGATGGGATGGCAAACATGCTCTCCATGTTCAGCAATTGGCAAAGAAGTCAATGCCCTAGTTACCCAACCGATGGGACCAGGGTAAAGAACGATAGGTGGTCCCTCTTCACTGCTTAAAAGCCTTGATGGTCCCTAGTGCGAAGCACTTGGAATGAGTATCCTTCCCTTCCCTTTTCCCACCCTTACATGGCACTTTGTGCACTTCCCCCTAATGAGACCACAAATAGACCTTGAACCTCTTGAGCTTTGACTCCTTGAGACACAGTTCTGTGTCTTTAAATCAACCAAAGGTCCTGCCCCTGACCAATCACATTACAGCCTCCATGTGCAGAATCTTCAAAGCTTCAGAAATCTGGGGACTGGTGTCAATTTGTCCATACATACCAACCAAAAAGGCTCGGTGCAGCAGCACGGCTGCATGCTCTGAAAAAGGAAGCAAAGAAAAGGAGATCAACTGGCTTGCTCTGTTTCTGGGGCTGCCCAGCTGCCTTTTCAGGGCATCATGGGGATTCATCCTGGACAGAAACAAGAGCACAGCTCTCAGGCTCTGCAGCGCCACTCTCTAGGAAACACAGTAGGTGCTTAATCAGCGCAGGATCAGAGGAAAACAATGCTGATCAGTTTGTCAGGGAATTATTCTCCAAAACATGAATTCAGCTCCTCCAGAAAGAACAAGGGATTTCCTAGGAGCAATTACAGCACAGGATCCACGATTCACAGGCCAGGTCCGTAATACCCTCCTCTGAACAGTGGAATGGTCCCCACTCCCACCCACCTGAGACCTATAGGCCACAGCGGGGGTCCTCAGGGGACAAAGAAAATAAGGGCATCCAATGAGACAATGGGACCCTGCTTGCCAGATACTGGACACTGGCCTATCAAGGCCAAGCCAGGTGAACACTTGGAAAAGAAACAGCCCACCTTGGCACAGGAGGGTATATTCAGGCAGGTTCTTCAGTGCTGTCTGCATCACCTCAAAGTCCCGACTTCCAAGGCAGTACATGAATGTGGGCAGAAAGTCAGCAGCAATGCTACAACACACAAGGAGGCTCCCATCAGCACCTCTGGTGACCGCACCCCTGGTCCTGCCTCATTTTATCCTAATACTGAAGCCCTTGATGAGCCATTTAGTGAGAAGGGCCTTTACCATTCATAATAAAGAGGACGAATGGGGGCACAAGTCCTGGCAGGTTTGGGTTCTAGTCCTATCTCTGGTTTTTTTCTTGTGTATCTGTGATGAACTTCCACACATATTAATGGATACAAACCACAAATGTGTTAGGTAGATGGAAGCATTAGGACTTTTTCAGGCCTCAGTTTCATCCCACATGCAATGAGGGGATCAGATGATCTCCAGCTCTAAAATTCTATTATCTAAATTTATTTCAGACGCACTTTAGAGCATCTGGTAAACTTCTATTTCGGTCCTTTTGACCCTCACAACTTCATGCCACAGTATCCCAGAGATAGAGCCCTAGCTGATCTCACTTTTTCAGGGGACAAGATACAAAATTTCTTTTAAAGCTGCTCTAACCAGATGGGGTGACTCCATGAGCTGTGCTACTTTTCTGAGTTGATCTTCATCTTAACTATTTGGTTGAGCTGTTAACTATGCTCTATTACAAGTGTTTTCACATTGGCCTGGCTCCAACCCTTCAGCAAAGGAGACAATTTGTCAAAAAGTTCATCAATAAAAGACGAGATATACAAGGTGTGTGGAGTGGAGTGGTAGTGGACTTTGACGGCCCCTCTGTTTCTCACCTAGGGTTGTTCTGTATTGAGCGCAGGGCAAGGTTGAAGGCCAGGTTCCGACAGGACTCTTCAGAAGCACTCATCAGCCTCTGCAGGTTGGTCTGAGAAGGAAAGGAGGAGAAGTCACCACCTCGATTCCTGTTTCCAGATTGGGAGGTAGATCCCTATGCTCAGTAAGAAACGGGTGAAGAAAGAAGAATCCTGATTCATCTTGGAAAGTGGGTCAGGATGGAGACCAAGGATGAAGTGCCTGAGATTCCTATGTCAGGGACAATATGGTCTTTCTTAGTTGGGGCTCCAAGAGCTTCCAGTCACACTTCCTGGCATTCCAAGAATGGGGGCAGCAGGGGGGTTCCTGCTGATGACTAAAGGAAGTGAGTCTTCTCTGTAGCAATGGGAACCCTGGGCTTTGGTTTGAAGGGATTAAGACCCAAAAGGAGTAAGCTAGCTGGATGGGACAAGAGAGTTCCTTTCCATGGCACTTACAGAAAAGAAGGACAAGATTTCTGGCCTCCGCCGGGACATCTCATCTATGTCACTCAGAACTTCCAAGATATCTAAATATAAAGAGAAACAGGCTGAAGGTGTCAGAGAGACAGAAAAAGATACAGAAAAGCACCAAACTAACAGGTAATACAGTGAAGCACCCCTAGATATCCACTAATTAAGAGTGAACCCACACAGCGACTGACGGAAGAGCTCTGTGCTGTGTAATGTGTTTCCTCAAAAAGCCACATGCAAAAGATACACTGTGCATCCCGTCTACCTCAATGGTCAATAATGTTTCCTGGAATTCATTTCCTTCCATTTTGTGTTAATTAGGAAATTAGGGGTTTAGAAGATGGGGGAGGACTTTAAAATCATTTTGTTAAAGCTTCTGCTGCAACAGTAGAGCCCTTCAAACACCTAAATTAATTCGTTGTCTAACCCAGTTGCAAAATTCCCCTATGATGGATCACTCCACACTTGGTTTATTCTGGAGTTAGGCCTGTCAAAACCTGACCCCTAGCATTTTACACCAAAACCTCATTTGTTATTGGAAATAGCTTGATATCATCCATGCAATTCCAGGAGATTAAGTGACTTCCTCACTTTCATAATAAGCTCTAACTAATATTCCTGTTTTTGAACCTAATCTACTAGGATAAAAACTCCTTGAAGACAGGGGCAGGGCTGCTCTTTGCCTCTGTATCCTTGGTGGCTGGCACAGTGCCTTTCACAAAGTAGATGTCTTCATAAATGTCTGATTTGAATTGCTGCTTTTTCCAGTCTTTCTGAGCATCTATCTCAGGCTGAGGCTGTTGCCAAAAGGCAACAGATGTTTCATCTTGCTCAGATCTACTCTCTCTCTCCACCTGCTTACATCTTCTTTCTACCGTAGGCCTGACACCGAATTAAAAATCTCCTTCAGTTGTCCATGCACATATCTCAGCTCATTACGGTGCCTGCTACTCATGACCATGGGAGAAAGCCTCAGAGCTCTTCTACAATACGCACTGTTCTAGAGATACAGATGTAACTGGATACTTCCCAGCCTGGGCTTCACCTGGGCTCCTAGCTTACCCTCTACAGTTTGGCCCCTGGACAATCTCTTCATATAGGGGGTCATTTCAGCTGCTGTCAGAGGAGTGAAGAGAGAGACACTGACTAGAGGCAGGGAGCCAGCAGAAGTGTCATCTGGAAGAAACACAATAAAAATCACTAACACTTGTAGATACTTTAGGTTTTGCAAAACACTATGTATATTATCTCCTTAGAGCATCATGACAACCTTATGACGCAGGTGCTACAGGTATTACTGCTCCCATCTTACAAATAAGGAAAATAAAGCTCAGAAAGGTTGACTTGCCTATGGTTACATAGCGAGTAAGTAGCAGAAGTGGGATCTGAACTCGGGTCTTCCTGACTCCACGTTCAGACTCCAGTATGGCTAAAATGGCTAGGGAGCTTCTGATCTGGTCACTTAAATTGATTTAGCCCTGTCTGCCCAAATACCAGGCAATAACCAGAATGCATGATGTACATAACATGAAAGTTGTTTTTCAAGCATACCAGAAATTAAATAATCAACTGAATGTTATCCCTTTCATTTTTTTATTTTTAGGCAATTGGGGTTAAGTGACTTGCCCAGGGTCACACAGCTAGTAAGTGTCAAGTGTTTGGTCTCGGGCTGGATTTGAATTCAAGTCCTCCTGACTTCAGGGCCGGTGCTCTATCTACTGCGCTATCTAGCCGCCCCATGTTATCCCTTTCAACACAGTCACCTAGAGTCACGCACTTATTCTACTGTTCAAAAAATTTCTGAACTCTTCTGAAACTGCCTTCAGAGCTGGCAGTATTTTCTGAAATAAGTGACTTATAAAAGAGAATTCAGTTTCTAAGGGTCAGGATGGTGACATCAACAGCAAAAGAAGATGCCTGAAACATTTTCTGTAACTGTCCAAAAAGCAAACCATACCCACCGTTTTTGAATAGCAACACTAGAATTCATCCTAGACATATTTTTGCTGGGCAGCAGTTCCTTAGCCAAGGTTTCCTCCTGTCATTCTATGATCTCTTTTCTGAACCCACTCTCCTTAGCTCAGAACAAACACAAACGAGAATTTTCTTCTGGAAAAGTAGTTGGTTCCCATTATGCAGATACTCTATTTACACTGAGCAGGAAGCCTGGTTCACAGCTAACTGAATTTTGGGAAATGAAGACATAAAGTGGGAATAAGATGCCCAAACAAGTTTATATGGTTCCTGTACCTTAGCAATAGCAACTGGGTCCTGGATGTCTTTTTTTCAATACAATCTATTTTTGTATTCCTCGTAGAAGCTGATACCTAGTCAACCTCGCAGAATAGTCCCCTATGGTAACCCTTAGAGAGCAGCCTTCCCTAAACTCACCATCCCTTTCTTCATCTGAGCCATGGTCAGAAACACTATTCTTGCTGGGAAGACTTAGCCCCGCTAAGAGAGACTTCAGCATCACCAGGTCACCATTGTCTGAAGATAAGTCACTGTGGAGAAAGAAAACACTAGCTCTCAGCTCAGTAAGATACCGACAGGTAGAAGACTAGATAAAGAAAGTTGTAATTATAAGGGCTAGAGAGAAAGGGAGGAAGAAAGTATCGTGCTAGGATGTCAAACAGGCAAACCAACGTACAGAGAAGAAAATATGGTCCAAGTAGAACGCCAGTAATACACAGAGAGGGAACATCTCTAGAATGGCTGCAGTGGGCAAAGCAGCATCTGCTGTTCATGCTCTACACCCGAGACCCAAAAATCTTGGCTAAGATTTCCTTTTCCTATATATGGCGTTAGACCCCATGGTTAATATTATTATTATTCTTTTTTAACTACCCTTTAGTTTCAGATTTGTTAGTTACCAATTTAAAGAGTTCGCTTTTCCTGGTCAATCCATCCTCATTGGAATCAGTGCATCTGGTAAACCCAAATGCCAGGGAAAATTAATTATCTGAGAAGCTCCCAGCTTTCCATGGGACTCTATTTGTCTGGAACGTAAACATTTAGACCCTAGAGAGTAGGTGTAGGAAAAGAGGGTACGCTTACTGGAGTGAGTCAGAATGCTTCTGCAGGAAGGAGATTGCAGCCGGTGCATTGCATGTGATATACTTGTGAATAAGTTGGACGAACTTGCTGATGAAGGCAGCGAGGTGACGGGAGGATTTCCTATAATTCTGAAGGGAAGAACCCATGTAATTGCACATATCCCACATTAAACAGAAGCAATATTTTGGTAGTCTAAAATTCTGCAGATGCTGCAGCCTAGCTATCTCTTCCTGCATGCACTGAGACAGTCTTCCTTAAAGGAGAACACAAACAGCATGCAATTGTTCACAAAATTTGTACCAAGCCCCCGCCTCAAGCAAAGGCCTTCAGGAAACAATAAATTAAGCAAAGGACAATGGTCACCTACCAGAAGCAATCTGATGAAGGAGAGAAGACAGTCCCAAAGCGCCCTCTGGTGTTCATCTTGAAACACCTGTGGCTGCAGCAGCTCTATGATCCCCAGGACATGAATGAAGAACGTCAGGTGATTCTGCTGACGAAACTCCTGGAAGTTGAGGTGGGTTCGCCCATGAAGCAGGGCAGCAATCATGGCCAGATGCCTAAAACAGAGGGGTAAAAATCCTTATGTTCATCCACACTCCAGCTGGGTCACCACAGCCTGTCACCAATTCAGGCTAGAAACCAGCGAGGCCACAGTCTGAATTCTATAATGAGGAGAGGGAATGTGACCTCCCTCCCTAGAGATAAATAAAGAAATTCTCCCACCCATTACCCAAGCAGCAAAGGAGGAAATGACTAGGACCTCAGCAGCAGGATAGGGTGTGCCACAGCCAACTTCCGACATGCCATGTTGGCATCTGCTACCCGGCCCTCAGAGGATCTGGAGTCGCTGGTGTCTGCGAGGAGGAGGATGAATCGGTGAACCAGAGCATCGAGCTGAAAGGAAGATCGAGGATTCTGAGCCATGAAGAATACAGCATTACAGAAACAATTCATTCCTAATTTTATTACTTATATCCAACAATGACTAAGTGGCAGGAGGGTATGGAGTATGAAACTGGATGGAGTTGACAGAGTTTAAAATGAAGCTTGCCCTCTCTTTCTCCAATGGACTCTGAGCTCCTTATCTTAAGTTTCCTTGATGTTACTGAACTTTTCTTTTTGTTGGAGTTCAATGGTTAAACTAGCTTCCCAGTTCCCAACAGATCAAATTCCCTAGCATTAAGGCTACATACACAGAAGTAAATTTTTGTTGAACTAGGCATCATTAAGGACAGTAGATTCAAATAGCACTCAGAACAAAATAAATTTGCATGGATATCCAGCCCTATCAACTCTGAAGACTGCAATGAAAACGATGCTTCAAGGTTATTGAGTTACCTTACTAGGGTGGAAGCTTATTACAAGAGAGAGCAATAGACAAGGTCAAAATTCTGACTTTGGAGATGCAGGTGAGAATAGGGGCATCAGGACCTACATCAAGGTCATTAATCTTCTAATCTATTTTTTCCCTAATCTAAACAAATACATGTTACACTTTAAAGCAAAGTTATCCAACTTTGGAAGAAAACTGAAAAAACAAACAAACAACCTCACTTCTACCTAAATTAACCTAATAACTTTATAGTACTATATTCAAGTGAAAATGAAGAGTTAATCAGATAATTGCCTCCATCCTCTTTTTGAACCTGTCACTACAGGTACAACACACCTGCCCTGCCTCAGCTGCAGAAAAGGAATGGCTCTGCCTTGGATCCACTCACCTTGCAGGTGCTGCTACTGGTTGCCCCCTCACTGTTCAACAGCATCTCAGGCATGGGCACCAGGAGCTCTGGCAGCTGCAGATAGAGCTGGAGGAGAAGGTCTTGGCAGCGTTTTCCTAACAAGCTGAAAGAGAGAGTATCCTTTAAAGTTATATTATTCATTCTAAGGTGATATCTAGAAGCCTTGAGATCCTTAAGGATATCTGAAGAGCTCAACGCAACATTTTAGGCTTGCGGAAGACTTAAAAAGGTATCAAACCAAGATAAGGCCAGGGCCCACCAACAGCCTTCAACAACATTCAATATGCTGGTTTTCTATAGGTATCATGCCCCACCCCAAGCTACAATCAAATGCAAAGGGACAATGACCTAGTCATGACTAGAGACATCAATCCCTGGGGCTAGACTGAATCAGATCCAGGTTAAAACTCTGGGGCTAAGAAGATACACCTTCTGATTAGTGGTCATATTTTAAGACAAACAGTCAGGGCCAGATTATAAGACCCAATTATATCTGTTATCTAAATTACTCATATTCAAGCACGAAGACATCCAAGAACATTTAGGGGTCCTCACCTGTCTCCCCATTGCTGGATGCTGCCTGTCAGGTACTCTGTTATTTTTTTGATGCTCTCAACATCTCCATGGCAACAGCTAAGCAACAGGGGCAAGCGTGACTGGATAAGGTTACATGAAGCATCTTCAGTACTCTGGCTTCTGGTTTCTGACTCAGCTAAGATGAGTTCCACCAAACTTATCAGTTCTGGAGCCTGGACCTGAAGCACAAACTCTTCTCGTCGTTTCTGTAATGCAGCCCAGAGGACAGTCAGGAAAAGTCTCTATCCCAAAGGGCAAGCTCCAAACATGAAAACACTCAGTTACACTTCCATTCACTCATCTGGAAAGGCATTATTTGGTACCTGAGGAGTCCGCTGGTCCCTTCCCTGCCAGATTCGAGGAACATGAATACAAGCCCACAGGAAATCCAAAGCAGCAGATGGGTCAAACCTGAGGAAAAAAAATAAGAGAATCCAGAACAGAAATACCATTTCAGCTTAGAAACAGGAAGTAATCTTTAAGGTACTGAATATGAAAGTGTGTGTATGTGAAAGAGTCTCACCTCTACACAAAGAAAAAAAGATGAAAGAGATTTTGACTAGTACAAAAAACATCCCCATGGCTTTCTCCTTGGGGGTAATTAGTATTCCCAAGGGATGCGTTACTTCAGAAACCACAGACAGCATAACATGAGTACTGTGAGGGGTTATGCAGTTTCTTTTCCCTTGCAAACAGTCTTACAGGTCAAACCCCAAATTATCAAATCCAAAGGAAGCCAAACACATTGTTCTTACTAACGCTTTTTTTAGTTCTCCAGTGGAGTGAGAAAAGGTAGCTAAAAAAACATAAACAAGGACTCAGTGAAAATGAACCTGCCAAAAAGAAGTACTGTTCTCTCTAAAGAGAGAGGAATCTGTAGACTCAAAAACACCTTCCATGTGGCCCCATTTCAAGATTCAGAAACACAAGTGTCAGGCACCATGACTATGCTTCTATTGGGTCTGCCAGCCATACTCTGTAGATGGCATACACAATAAACCACACTTGAAACAAGATCATGTGCCATCTTTTCATTATATCCTCTACTCACTGACCAACATTCAACCCCAAAGAACCTGTAAGGTTTTGTCTAACAAAAATTTGTGTCAAGGTATGCCACAGCCATCATGATGACACATCACCCTGTTAGCAGTGTGCCTCACGTTACAATCAGGAAGGCACAAAAGTCACTTAAAGGATGACAGCATCTGTACTGATGAGATAAAACCACACAACCAGGTTTCCTCAGATGTAAGAGGAGTACTCACTCACCTTTGCTCCCGGTTTTTGCAAAGCAGAATGTGGATGCACTGATGAAGAGTACTCCAATTAGACTGGTGTGTAAGGAGAGCCAAGAGGTATGGGCGGAAAGACAGCACCTGAGAGCCAGAATGACTTTTAGACTGTGGAAAAAGAAAACCAAGTGTTTACTAATCAGTCTAACATTGGAAAACAAAGCCAGTTTATGAGAACATTCTGTGGCTACACCAAACAGGGAGCAAGAAACAAACTGTTTTCTTGGATAACTCTTCAAAAAGAGGATAAATAAACATGAGTTGGGAAAAAAAAATCTGTTAGTACAATCAGCAGAGTTTTCTCAAAAGATAAACTAGTACGTGCCGTAGGAAATGTTTAACATGGCTTTATCGAAGAAAATCAATTCCTCTCATCTTGCTGCCCATTCAAAAATGGAGCATAGCAGGAAACCACACAGGAAATAAATGCAAGAAATGGAAAAAACAGGGTCATACATTAAGTTCCTAATTAGTTAAACAATGCAAAACCCTTCTTCCTTTGAAAAATCCATCATACTCCTCCTTTCTGTGTATGTACACATACACACATACATACATATGTATTTATACACATACATATGTATACTATGTATATATACAATGGGTATATGTATATGTGTGTATATAATGTATAATGCATATATGTATATCTAATGTGTATATCATGTATGTGCATATCTATATATATAATGTATAATGTGTATATATGTATATATACATTATATACACACACACACACACATACACACACACACACACACAGAAACCCATTCCCATGCTTCTGTTAACAACCTCCAGAAAGAAACGAGATCTTCTGAGATTTAAGCTCAGGCCAAGAGAGGTACTCAAACCTTATTCCAAGAGAAAAGAAGCCTCTGCTGGAGATCAGGACAGCTGCTGATCACTTCAGGATCCAGCATTTCAAGCCAGTCAATCAGAAGTCCTGAGGAGGGACCAGGCCAGGTAGTTTCAGTGCCACTGGAGAAGACAAGACAATCACAGTGTCACAGAAGGTATCGCTAGAACCAGAGAGGGCTGCTGCTTTCCCCTTCCCACAACTCACCTACAGCTGTCCAATTCCTTTTTCCCTGAAGTCTCCTCTCTTTCCTGAAGCAGCAAGGAACTTACAACAGCAACTGGCTTAGTAGAAGGAAACTTGGAGGCAGTTTCTGGGGTAGATGAGAAGAGGATAGCCAGGAGCTCCTCGAGGTAAGGAGATCTCACCTCAATCAGACCTTGAAGGACTAAGAATGTTAAAGAAAAAACACAGTTGGAAATGCTAGCAACCAACAGCACTATGTGACAACAAAGCTTTGGAGAAAACATAAGGTAAGCTTCCTGAGAAGGGAAGAGTGGGTAGCTTCAACATAAACCATTCCTTACAGCCAATTAAGTTTCTACTGCTTAACAGACCATTCCAAATTGTGAAATAGCCAACATTTTGGTTAGAAAAGCAGCTAGGAATTTTTATTTTTTTGATATTACCCTTTTTTAACATACGTAGCGATAGTGAAAGATAGTGAATTTCTACTGAAACACAGATAAGCTGATAAATGTTTACTTATCTAAAAGGATTCATCTGCTTTTCCTGAAGCCATGGGACCTCTGGCCCTTTGAGGGCAGGATGGCACAGTAAAGAGGACACTGAGTAAAAGTCAGAAGACCTGGGTTCAAATTCTGGCTTTACCACTTACAAGGTTATGTCACTGTGTAACAATGGGCAATTCACCTAATAATCATTTATTAAGCACCTACTAGGTTTAGTATATTGTCCTAGGCACTGAAGAAGATAAACACCAAATGAGACAGAGTCCCTGCCTTTGCTGAGCCAGAAATGTAAGTGGCATCTCTTGAATGGTAACCAAGAATACTCCAGTTCCCAACAGGAATTGGATGTGGAATCTTCCTTGCTCTCCTCTCCCCACAATCCCTGGAACCTAGTTCCATATGCAAAGGATGCATCTACTCTGCCTAATGTCATATGAACTCTGCAGCCTTCCATGGCCACCCTAAGTAGGAGTGGCCCACAGATGGGTTCAAGGACCCAGAACATATTTCTCCTTTCTCCATCAATGGACACAGCATAGGGATTTCAGCCCAACAGCCTCTAATGGCCCCCTTACCCTGGAAACTCCTGACACTTCTGGAGGAAATACATGCTATGCCCTGGGTAAGCAAACTATCTGAAAAAAGATAATGCTACAGCTCTCTATTACCAAAAAGAATCCATGCATTCAGAGACTTCCTCGAACCAAAATCTCTTTCTCTGCTACCATATGTACAGGTACTACTTACTCCCTATCCTGTTATACTAAAACTATCTGAGGTAAGCAATGTCTCCGTCCTTTATATTCACTGAGCACCCCGGACTCCAGGCTTCCCAATGACAGGCCCAATCAGGAGCTAAGTGCACACTCTATGAGTAAGGTATTCTGGGTCTATATCATCTCACTTCACCTTAGGATGATGGAAACAAATGGCACATAGTCTGAATCCAGTCAGACTCCTGTGGTCCCAAACATAAGTGACTTACTCACTCAGATGTCTGACTCAGATCTAGCCCCAGTCAACTGACACTTCCCCCATCCTGACTAACAACTCTCAATAACTCCCTCCCCCCATTATTATAATTCAGAGTCAAATCTGCTGAAGCGGGATCTGCTTCCCCCAGCTCCCTACCATTCCCTACTCTCTTATCCCCACCTAACTCAATCCTATCATTTCCTGCCCCTTCTACTGTGCCCTCTAGGAACTCCAGTTCCTTCGTTCTAGACCCCTTCTTACACTCCATATTCTTGTACTCAAGAAAATTTGGCTCCTACCTGAAGCCAATGAATGCATCTCTGGCAATCCTCTTCATTCCTGGCTGATCCTTCTCTCATGACCCCTGACACACTGGGCCAGGAGAAGGAGGCACACTCCATTGTCCTCAGTGCCCCTGTCAGACCATCCTATTGCCATCATTCACTCAGCAACCTCTCCTCCTTTGAGGTACACTTCATCTGTCTGTGTCAATCAATCAATCAACATTTATCAAGTGCCTACTATGTGCCAAGCGGGAGGCACTTATCACCCTCAGTTATCTGCTGACCTCCAAGTCATTCTCCACACTTTTTCAAGGAGTTCTAGTCTGTCCTTGTCTCTCTTTCTCTTCCTCCCAGACAACCCCCTCCATCCCCAGCCCAGAATGCAGGGCTTCATTTGGTCTCAGCATCCCCTGTAACTGTACTTCCATGATCTCAGCTCAGAGATCCCTCTCTCTGATGTACTCATCCCCGCTCTTTCTGCCTCTGCTTCCCTCATATACCTGTTCTTCCCTGCACCCCACAACTCCTCTACCTCTCCCTGTTCTCTCAGCTCCTGTGTTCTGGCATTACTTTCCTCCCTTCACTGTGCTGAGCCTGTGGCTGATTAGTTCAACTAGATATTATCCCCTCCCCTTGAATCTCTTGCTGCCATGTCCTATCACTGCACATGTCTCACCAAGTCCTAGCCTCCATCCATCTCTGCTCCTCCCTTAGTGCACTACACAATGACGTCACGTAATCTCAACCAGGCCTTCAATGAGGCAGCACAGTCTTTATCCTCCCTAACTGAACTGTGATCATATTCCATAGCAATTATTCTAAATTGTCTTTTCTTTCCTCCACATCTCAAATCCATCTCCTCCTTTCCACTTATAGTGCTACTGCCTGGGGCCTAAATGAAAGAGGCCAATCTTCCTTCCACATGACAGTGCTTCAAATATCTTTAGACAATTATCATGTTCCTTCCCCCCATCCCCCAAATCTTCTCTTATCCAAGCTAAAGGTACCCAGATCCTCCAATCTATCCTCATACAACATGGAATCAGGCCCTCACTACTCTGGCTGCTCTTCTCTGGACACTTTCCAACTTTTCCTTCTTAAACCTTGAACTAAACACAATATTCTAGATGCGGATCACGAGGACAAAATACAAAGAGACTCATCATCTCTTTATTCCTGAAAGCGTGTCTCTCTTGATATAGCCCAAGATGACACCAGCTTTGGGGGCTGTCACTTCCCACTACTGACGCACACCGAGTTTGTGTTCCACTAAAACCTAGGATCTTTTTCAGACAAAATGCTATTTAACTGTTCCCCCCTCACCACTTCTCCCCCTCCCCAATTCTTTACCTGTGAAGTTGATTTTTTTATTTTAAGTGTAAGACTTTACATTTATTTCTACAGAATTTTATCTTATTAGACAAGAAGCCTGTCAAGATCTTTTGGGATAATAACTCTGACAACCATCATATCAGCTATCCTTTCTAGCTTCATAGCAGTCACCTGCCAACCTAATGAGCATGCCATCAATGACTTATCCAAGTCATAGCTAAAAATGTTAAACCAGGGGTGGGGAACCTTCAGCTTTGAGGCCAAGGTCTCAGGTTCCCCACCTCTGTAAATGGTCCCAGGCCAATGACTGATTCCCAAGGCACTAGACTGGAGAACTCTTGCCATGGTGACATAGAACTATTCTTGACCACTCTGAATCTATTCATTTAGCCCATTCTGAATCCACTGGACTGCACTATCTGCTAGAGTGTGTATTTCCAACTTTTCCACAGGAATAGTACGAGGAATTTTATCTAATTGTTGCTATTATCTAAGTAAACAGTAGCTACAACATTCCAGGATCTACTAGCTTAGTTAACCCTGTAAAAAAAATGGGAATTTGATTATTCTGGCATGACCTGTTCTTGTTGACTCTTTGTAATCACTACTTCTTATCTATTTGCTCACTCAACTCTTTAATGATCTGTTCTAAAAATTTCCCGGGAATGGAAGCTCACTGGCTTATAGTTTACAGTCTGTGGTTTTGTTTTTTTGGGTTCTGGTTTTTTTTGGGGGGGAAAATTGGAACATTTAGCGCATTCCAATTTTATGGTATCTTTCCTGTTTTCCAAAATCTTTCATATATTATCACATATTAACATTTTATAATCATAGCTGCCAGTTTTCTCATTATTAACAGTTCATCTGAGTCACCTTACAAAAACTGCTATTAAGTGCTTACTTACTCCTTACTTAAATAGGCATTTATTAACTGTTGAATTAAACCTCTCTGAATCACAGTTTCTTCATGTGTAAAATAGAGATAATAATGTCTACATGGGACAGGATCAGAGAATCAAATTTGGTCATGTATATAAAATACATTATAACTCAAACAATATACAGGTATACATACATATACACACATGTACCTCTATCCATATGTATGTCTATCAGTATGTATAATTAGACCAGACCTGTGATTTCAATGGTAGAGGGAATGCCTCTACCAATACAGTTTGGCATCTGTTCTGCAAATTATAGCCTTAGAAAGTTGCTTGGGATACTGAGACTGACTTGATACATACAAAACTAGTAGTACTGGATGAAAGACTTGAACCCAGGTCTTTCTGACTCTTAAGTCAACCCAATACATCAGGTTGCCTCTTAAATTGCTACATAAATGTCATCCACTTATTACTGAAACAATATGTTCCCCTTGGAATGGGGAAGGTATATATGATCAAGAACTAAAAAGCACAATGAAGGATGTAGCTTTTTTTTTTCCTTTCCATTCCAGGATCAGTCAGGAATATGCTTCTGTCCCCAATACCATAAGGGTTCCTTCTGCAGAGAGCCTGAGGCCCCTGGCACTCCCTAGAAGTCTCTAGAGGAGACTTTCTCTATCCTAAGACTGTACCTTTGCCAACAAGTTCAGGTTCCACGCTGCATTTCTCCCCTGACTTCAGGGTGGCGATGATGGCACACACTGTGGAGCCTACCACCTCAGAATCTCGGCGGAAAGCCAGTGTTTCAGCCAGGTGCAAGAATCCACCTCGTACTGTGGGAAAACATCTCAGCATCATCACTCTAGCCATAGGCAGGAGCCTCCACCCTCTTCAGCCCAACATTCCTTAAGATTACGGCTACCACTCTTGACAATCTGTTCCATCCAGGGGAATTCCCCAAGGGGGAGTTACCAGTGCATTGTGTGCTCTCAAGAAATGTCCTCTCTTCACCACACAGGCTCTTTATCCCCTGGTCAGGGAGACCAGCCCTAAAGGAACCCCTGTCACTCTAAACTCTTAAATTATGAAATCATTCAGCCACATCCTTATTAATGCCATTTCAAATGCCTATAGACACAGAAGCTCTGACAAATTCCCTTCAGCTAATGAGAAAATCATTTTCTCCATATAAGCTAGAAAAAACTATGAAAAAAATCTCAGGGAGCTTTTCCTATTTTCAGCCCCACACTTTGTTCCTCCTGACTCTTCATACCATCACTGATCCTGTGTCGTGAAGAGTACTGGGCTGCAAACAATTTAAGCTGGGCCTGGAGAGGGCCGTCTTCCACGGCAGGGTTTTCCAGCCACTGTAGCATCTGCATGAGGACTTTGAAGAACAATGAAGAGAAGGCCGTGTCCTGTGGAACACAACGCTGTAGGAGAGTAAAGGACCAAGAGTTACAAGCATGACTAACAGCACACAATTAATAAGACAGCAGGATTGGTGCAATGGTCAAAAGAACAGCTATCTCAACCACAGAGATTAGGCAGTGCCTTCTGATTAGTGTATAAAATGATGTGGCCTGGGGCAGCTAGGTGGCGCAGTGGATAGAGCTCTGGCCTTGGAGTCACGAACTTGAGTTCAAATCTGGCCTCAGACCAAACACTTGACACTTACTAGCTGTATGACCCTGGGCAAGTCACTTAACCCCAACTGCCTAAAAAAATAAAAAAATAAAAAATAAAATAAAATGATGTGGCTACCCATTACCTCTACAGTTATCCCTTTCACATAGTGACTTTCCCCATTGCAGTTTCGCTATATCATGGGTTGGCATAAGAAATTAAATGGGAAATTTTGCAGAAACCACAGACGACACAGGAAGGCTAGCAGAAGACAAAGAAAAAGTTTAGAACCTCAGAAATGCATAAAATATATGTATAGTATAATATCAATAAATTTTATCTTTTAATACCATAATAATTCAGACCTCTTCTCTGGTACGAAGGGAGGGCCAAAAAATTTTAAGGTTTTCCACACTGCAGGGGTGCCATGTCCTTAACCCCTATGATGTGGAAGGGATAACTGTAATAATAGCCTATCTTTTTTTTTTAAATGAGAATTAAAGTACCACCATCACCTAAATCCTCGTATATAGAAACTCTCTCAAAAATCATCATAGCAGCCCTTGAGAATAAGTAGGGGCAAAATTTGCTGATCTCAGAGATTAAAAAAATGATGTGCAGGGGGCAGCTAGGTGGCCCAGTGGATAGAGCTCTGGCCTTGGAGTCAGGAACCTGAGTTCAAATCCAGCCTTAGACACTTGACACTTACTAGCCATGTGACACTGGGCAAGTCATTTAACCCCACTGCCTAGCCAAAAAAAAAAAAAATTGATGCCCAAAGGTATAGCGTGGAGCAGTGACCTAAACAGCAATAGCCCACCGACCTCCTACACTGCCTATGCAAATATTTTTTGAGCACTGTTAGGACCTACTAACAACTGAGTGCCTCAGGACAGTGACCCTGTAATGGTTAATTCAACAAAACTGCTCCTTGCCCTCAAGAAGCCTACACCTTGTAGAGAAGACAAGGCACAAGCACAAATACAAATACAAAATCAAATATGATAAGCACTTAGTATTTGGAGTCAAGAACTGGGTTTGAATCTAATTCAATCACAAAGTCACCTTTATGAATGTGATTTAACGTCTCTGGGTCTCAGCTTTCTCATCTATAAAAAAGGAGACTGGAAGAGATGACCTCTCAAGTGCCTTAAGGTTCTACAGCTACAATCCTATGAGCAAAGATTAACTCAGCAGGGATGGAGTTGGTGAAAGCTTCATGGGGATGGCATTGAAAAATGGCAAGAGTATCAGTGGCTGGACATCTGAAGGGAGGGAATGTGGGTGTTAGGGACAGTGTGAACAAAGGCATGAAGACATTAGGCAAGACATGTCTATGAAATGGTCAGAAACAGTTTGTCAAGAGTTTAGACTGTGTGAAAGATAAGAATCTGGGATAAGGTGAGAAAAGTCATCTGGAGCCAGATAACAGATGGCTTTGAATGTCACACTAGCATACAACATACACTTTATTCAACAGGCAATGGAGAGTCACTTAAGACTTGAACAGAGAACTGACATGACAAGACATGACATGACATATTAAGGAAGATTAAATTGGCAATAGTGGGTAGAATGGATTAGCAAGTGAAGAAACTAGAGTTAGAGAGAAAGGTCAGGTTATTGAAATGATTCAAGTGAAAGGTAATGAAGGCCTGAAAGCAAGGTAGGGATAGAGGAAACACACAAGAGGCAATGAATGCAAGAGAGGTTTCAGATGCAGAATCAACTGAATCCAGTGACTGAGGAAGTCACCAAAGATGAGATAAGTGAGGGAGAAGACAGTGATGATTATTAACCAAAATTTCCATTTAATAATCCATTTTTCTATATTGGTTAAATGTCTCTTTGCTCCAAAAACCTGCAGGCTAACACCTTTTCATTCAGTCATGATCTTACTCTGCTGATTTTCCTAAAAATTATTCAAGTTACTTCCCCTAAAAATGTCAACATCTATTGCTTTATAAAACCACAGTATGATAAAGCTGGAATGAACCTTGGAAGATTTTCTAGGCCAATCCCCCAATACTTAAATAAATGGATCAATTCCCCCTCCTTTCCTATGCAACTTTATTTCAGGGCACTCCTTTCCATGCATCCTATGCTTCAACAACACTACTATTAGCTGTTTCTCGATTTCAATCCTGTCCTTTCCCCCTCCATGTCTTTACACATGCCATCCTATACTTTCCTCCCATCTTCACGTGACTCTTCCTTTGCCTTAAAGACCTGCCTCCTTCCACAAAGCCTTCACTGATCCTAACTAGACATGATCCTTCCTTTCCTTAATCTCTTAAGTCACTCTGTTTATCCTTTACTATACACTTCATCAGGGCAGATAGGTGGTGGAGTGACTAAAGCAGCAAGCCTGGAGTCAGGAAGATTC